TGTATCGTCAGCAAACAGTACATCACACAACTCACTGGCATAAAAGGGGAGATCGTTAATATATACCAAAAATAATATTGGGCCCAAGATTGATCCTTGTGGAGACACCCATTTGCATAGGGGTCCCAGCGGAATTAATATCATTTATTGATACTTTTTGGATTCTATTAGTAAGGTAAGAGGCAATGAGATTGTGGGCGATGACACGAATGCCATAATAATCTAGTTTGTGAAGTAGGGCTTTGTGGTCTACGCAGTCGAAAGCTTTTGACAGGTCGCAAAAGACCTTTCCCAAGCGTTATAAATATGTTTGACAAGTGCGACACCCGCATCTGTTGTCGATCTGCCTTTAGTGAATCCATATTGCTCATCATGAAAAATTTGATTTATATTAAAATGTACCTACCAATAGTTAGTTTAAAATAATTTTTCAAAAATTTTACTAAGTGATGGCAATATGGAGATTGGTCTATAGTTGCCTGGATCATTTTTGTCCCCACTTTTGTAGACGGGTATTACCTTACTGAGTTTCATAAGATCTGGAAATATTCCAGTATCTATACAGTTGTTGAAAATATGAGCCATATGTGGCGCAATATATGGCATTATTGTGGTCATCAATTTTATGGACAAGCCCCATAAATTCAATGTACTTTTAAGATTAATAGACTTAAAAACTTTTATAATGTCATTAGCATCGACGTGATTAAATTTAAACGCGTGGCGACAATAGGTAATTTTATTTCTTAATAAACTAATTCCGTCAATGGGAGATGATTTTAATGTACATGTGACATTAACTGCAATTTCTGAAAAAAAGCTTTCGAAACTACTTGCAATGTCATTATCTGGTATTATGGGAGTATTACCTATAATGCCTGAATACAAACTTTTTTAAATATTTTTGAAAAAACTGTTGAAAAAATATAACTTGTTTATGAAAGTTAGGGTCGTGATTCCACTGCCTCAAACTATATAATTCATACAGTGAATCCCTACACTTATATATACCCACTGTTGCCCAGTCACTAAATTTTAATTTTGAATTTTTAACAATTGTGCGCGATTTAAAAGTATCGTTATAAGAAGATATGAGAAAGTCAACCATGGATCTATAAGAATAATTAGGGTTATTGCCTCCCATATCTTTATTTAACATATGATGTGCCACTTTATCTCTAAAAGAATTTATTCTATTAGTAGTGTCTAGTCTACACTTGATCTTATGTTTGGTTGTATTAACTTTTTCATTTATTGAAAATTTTTGACGAAAGTGATCAGAGCTCAGATGATTTATAATACATTTATCATATACATTATTGTGACAGAATACATTATCTATACATGTTGAGGATAAGTTAGTAAAACGAGTTGGTTCATAAAAAAGATTTTTAAGATGAAATGAATTGAATAAATTTAAAAGTCGTTTACTAAGTTGTGTTACTTGTAATAAGTCCTCATTAAAGTCCCCACAAACTATCAATGATTTACTACTTAAACATAGTTTTTTTAAGAACGTCATCCATTAAAACATCTATTGTAATATTTTGTATATACGTCATTATCTTAATTATTACCTAAAGAATAGTGACAGCCATAAAATAAACACTAGAAATAAGGGAAAAATTACTACGCCATTGTTTCGTCTACAAAAAGTAAATAACAGATCGTTCACGGGGCAAAGTGTGCGCATGTATTATAAAATCCTACAGTCGATAATAAGTCTGCCGCTTGACCAATTTAAACGTAAAATTAAAAGTCTACTTATGGTTAAAGCATATTATACCATTCCTGAATATCTCGACGACGCCAACGTGTGGAGTTAATACTGTTGATACTCACATAGGCTAGAATAAGACAATTATACCTGTATGTTATATTGTAAACTGATACTTTTGAAAAAGAGCAACTGTTGAGTTTCTTGCCGGTTTTTTCTCAACAGAAACTGCTTTCTGAACCGGTGGTACCTTACGAACCTATATACATAATTTTTGATGTAAAATTTGACGATATAATATAGAGCGAAACATTAAACTTGAAAATTCAAAACAGGATCGTGTATTGACACGAAGTATACACAACTAAGTAGTATATACTCTACATATACAACGTGAGGTAAAACTAACATGAGATGTAAGTCGCGCCTCACGCACTGTACTTACATACATGATCATTCACCACGCACTTGTACAGCCGAATCACGTTATACCTGGCAAATTTAAATAATACACCATCTTCTGGTACATCAAAAAGGTAACTACTAGATAGCTCAGGAATTTAATTCCTAGTATAAACAAGCTACCTGAATGAGTGGATTTTCCCCTTTGTAACACTTAGAAATAAACAATGAATTACATTTTCCGGAGTTTTTATCTGCATTATTATGCAAAAAAAACTAAACTTCTCTAGGTCATTATGTAAAATCAATCTCAAGAATAATTTTCTTGGTACCGTAGAAATATGAGTAATTATTTGGGATCGAATGTTAAATATAACAAAGAAGAGTTTTTGGCAGAAAATGTTAAATAAGACAATGTTAAATAATGATAATAAAGACACCTTAGAAAATCTATTGTGGTATTAATACACAAGAATAAGTAGAGCAATAGTTAATACATTAACTTTTTATATTCTCAATTGAAACGTGCACACCAATAATTTAAAATATAAAATGTCACAAATGCGCGAATAGATATACAAATAGTCGCGCAACAGATTTAATTAATGTTTCAAGGTCGGAGAACGAATTAAAAACAGAGTAATGATTGTGTCATACCTGATTTTAGGTAGAGTTATAAACATTCAACATTTAAGAGCCTTTTGAATAAGTTGTGCACGATATAAACTTATTCGAGCATAAGCATAGAATTATGAGAGTAAAATATTTTAGAAATGCGAAATATTTAGAGCGTTCACACCGATACCAACATCGAACAACTTCAAGGTATTACCATGGCCACCAATAACAACTTTTTGGCATTTTTCTATAATTCCAAGTTATACTAAACCGTTATAAACCGTTTATTTATTGTCTTTTTCACAAACAAATGAACTGGCACAAGGGATTTTAGATTTCTTTTAAATGTATTAAATTTACGGTGGCAAATCGTTTGGCAACTTTTCACATAAAAAAAAATTATTAAATTTTATTTGAACTTAAATAAAACTAATTTTTCACGACCACCGTGAAATGAGAAACCATTTGAAATGAGGATTATAATTTTATAAATCTCTACCTAATGTGAGACGAAGGCACAACTAGTTCATGTATTGGATTCTCTTTGTAGCAGACTTTTACAATTAATTATTATAGAATCTTCGCCTATGAACAGAATGTTATTGGCGAACTCAATAGTTAGACAATACTTTTGAATCCTCAAGCCTAAATCGGTATGAATCCCAAAGCCCAACTTCAAAAATTGGTATTTTTGAGGAAAACATTGGTATTCTCACACTTGCTATTACCGTCGCCAAAACCTACGTTACTGTAAACCCTTTTAAATATTAAACGTCTCTGAGAGCTCTATTATCGTGTGCACAAATAGTCACCAAATGTTCATCGCAATTGAATTAATATCTACTCAAGATATTAATTCAATTGCTATTAGGAATGAATAAAATATATACGTATATAGAATACACAAAGAAATAATTATGATTGTATGAAGCACATACATATGGTGAAAAGAAAAATCATAGATTATTTCTACCGTCCCAACGACAGTTTTTGCTGTCGACGGAAGTTCCATGGCCTCACAGAAAACATGCCTGAGGTAGAGGCATTATATTCTAGTTTCTTTTTTTTTAATGTTGTCTACGAATCTACAGCCCTCGGTGTATTATAGATTACCAAAGGCGGCGGTAATAAGATTAAACGCTCGCTGACTAGTGGCAAATATCTCACGAAATATTGGCTTATTTCCATCCTCACCCTTGATCCAGACACATATAATTAAATTGTAAGATATGTATAGAAAGTTTATTTATTTTCCCACTTAAATAAATGGGAAAATGCATAAACTTTCTCTATATACTAAGATACGTCTTTTGACTCATATTTATTAATTTCTGAAGTACTTTGATTGGTACGCATAGAAAGTAACTGAATGATACTTTGTATGTTCTACCAGTTTAAACAAAAAATATAATACGTTAACACGTCATTGCCGCGTTGTTATCAACGAAGTTTAAGTTCCAAGAAAAGTAATGACAAAGCATTCGTTTAATAAGCTTAAAATTGAATGTACTATACAAATTTAATAAACGTACGTTTTATATAACGTACACTAAATTATACTCAAATAAGATGCAGAGTTCAAACTATTGTTCGTATTATTTTTGGCATCATAGTTGCTAAAAATAATCATGTCTCTACAAATATTCAGATACAGCCGCGCCATTGCTTCGCTGTCCCCTACAACGACGAACAACGCGTGGCTAAAACACACATGTGCAACGTAATCGCGTGCAATCGCCACCAAAACACAACAACCTTATGTTCAAAGACATAAGAGCTTTCTAGCGTGACGCTGAACTAATCGCACCGATAAACACAAAGCAAAAGCGTGCGCCCGCGCCGTTTTGCCTCATTCCATTCGGCTCCGAGCGTTCCGAATAGTTCGTTCGCCTCATTTCGTTCAGAGATTGGAATATCGTTCAGTTGCTCACTCGCTGCCGCCGCGTTGATACTACTCGCACGCGTACCTCGCATTATGTACCAGCAAACCAACAACACATAAACCTTCCAAAATGAAGCCAAATCGGTTATAACGTTATTAATTTTAAAAACCCTTAAATATTAGATCGAATATTATTATTATTGTGATATTTAGTTAGTATTCCACGCTGTTATTATTTATATTGCTACCATGGGTTTCAATACTGTTATATAGTCTCTTTAATTTTAAATTAAAAGCAGTGCTCAAGATAATCTCATTCCAAGACACCCAGTAATCGAAAATTTAGTCTGCATAATATCGTTTAATATTTTAACGTTCGCAATGACAGCCAAAACTCGTTCGCATTGGAAGGAATATGGAACAGCACTATGTGGTAAGTTAATTTCTAACCTATTCAACATTTGCGGACACCATGCGTTTACCTACAGCAATTATTTTAAACCTTAGTCTTGTTGACATAAAATTTTATTGTGACATAACCTAAGATAGAATATTCGAGATGAAATTTTGTTTTAATTACTAAAATCCTTACTACGTGTCCACTCTGGCCAGTTGCGGAGCAACAAATTTAACTTCTAAACGTACATATTTATAATGAAATGTAACATGTTAAATTTACATATTCACCATTATGATATCTAATCCAACCCCTGTCCATTGAAAATGTAGAACTGTACAAATAAAAGGAACCTGTTATGGATTAAAATAATTCATTCTTCATACGAGATTAATGTATTGGGAAATATTTAACATTAACTTTCTACGCAAGAAATTGCAACACTGTTCACTAAAACTAAAATTTGGGAAATAATATACTTCTTTGTCTTCTAGTATAAGAACTTAATAATCACTCGATACCATAGTCATAGTATTGTGAACTTAGGGAACTTTGTAATTACAATAGTTGTTCTCCGTTTGATATTTTCGTAAAAATTGGATTTGATCGTAAAAAAGTCACGATTTCGCTTAATACTACCAGAACTTGTTTACGTTCTATTATATTATTTTCTCGAAAAGTGTAAGTATTTTTATACTTAACTGGACTGTAATTAAACTTAGTACTGTAGTGGCATCGTCGTGTTTAAAGTATCATTTAAACCGCAAATGGGTGATAAGGATTACGTCATGCGTTTAAAAAGTATTACTCCCTTACAAAAACAAATTACACGACCAATTTATTGTGTTTTAGCAATAAAGAAATATCATTTATTTTAAAAGGAAGCATTCAAAAGGAGTTGTAAGCAAATTCTAAAGGGATCCTGGAATGTGAAAACCCAGGTAAAAAATTTAACCGTTCAGAAATCGCACCCCAGTTTCTCGTATAGACAAGAAACCTACCTCTCTTAATAAAATACATTATCAGATTGTGTTTATTATAGACATCTATTAACCAAATATGTGATTAGTAGTAGTAGTTTTATATTTAAAAAAGTAATTCATATGAAATTGCGAATTTTTGCCTAATAGTAACTAAGGAGACATTAGTTAGAGGCGCAGTTGTGCATCAGCCATTGTTACTTACCATATACGCAGTCGCTGTTTAAAAGTTTGCTTATGCGATTCACTTGTGATATGAGATGAAAACCTCATTTAAGTATCGTTAACGCTAAGGCGCGGTGTAATCTTTAACATTCAAAAAGGTTAATTACAGAAAAGTATATCTCACAATTATAAAGTATCCAAATTTATAACAAAAATTTGCCAATGCTGTATTTTCATACAATCTATTTGCAGTTACATATGAAAACTTTGTTCCGTATAAATAATTTATAATAAAATGTTTGTTAGTTGAGAAATTAGACAATGATCTCGGCGGTGTGGTATGATATCTAAATATTAATTATTTTTATTTCCCACAACTAAATTTACTTAGACTCTACTTTGTATCATTGAAAACGAACTAAGGTCTGTTGCAAATTGCAAATTGTACACTAAACTCAGAAAAGGGTTGCGTTTGAGAACACCATTTCTTTAAACCTTAATATAATTTTTTTTTCAGTTATTGAGTTGTACGTTTTGAGGCCTGAGCTATCTAGATTACAATATGACAAATAATTGGTTTACAAATTATAAGTATCCGTACTTCATCTTGAGTTTGAATATGACGAAAATAACTTTAATGCATTCAGTTGTTTACGACAAGAAAGAGAAAAGGAAACTTGTTTTGATGCTATTTATTATTAATAGCTCTTTAATGACATTGTATTAAATGCAATCGATTTCCTGATACAGACAGAGATTTAATATGATCAGATAAAAAGTATCATTAAGTAAATTTTTTAACTAAAATATAAAATGCACTCTTAAATTTTTACTTCGATTTTAGACAATTATAACATTAATTTACAAAAAAAAACTTTCATATTGGTATATTAATTAAAATATAAATGGGCCTGTATATTTTATTTTTATAGTTCATTTTAAAAATAGCACACTAAAAGCCAAAGAGTAATATGATTATTCTTAAAGGGAATTGCAATTCTTAATTGCAAATTCGACTCGTAAACTATGAACAAACTTTAATTCACAAATATATGAAAAATATAAAAAACCACACAGCCAATATATTCTTTTTAACAAGTACAATTATAGTTATCATTAAATGAGAAGTGATTATTAACGTTATTTCTCAAGCAAGGTTATTTTACGAGCTTAAAGAAAACCAATTATTTTTTTTTATTTTTGCGTGGGAAATAACAAATTAGATACAGCTGTACGTAGGGAATCGGGCTTTGTAAAATATATTTTTACAAGAAAATGATTTTAATGTACAAATTTGGTTCCATATCAATGCTGAACATTACATAAAAATCAACAACGATTTGGATATTCAATTTATATTTCTGATTATTTTTAATTTCGTGTACAAGGAAATGTACATTTTGTTAGTCTAACAATCGAGTGGAAATCTAGTTAGAGGTTATCGAGCTACAAAACAATAGTTTCTGTGCCTTAAACCCGGACACTGCCAATTTTTTGTATAGGTAATCAGTCTTATATTTATTCTTTTAACATTTTGCTTGTCAATTGTCACGATACATGTTAAATGTACACATTATTTGTACTAAGAGTACAACAAGGGTGCTTTAATGCGTTTACTATCCATTTCATTTTTATTTACCATCTGATACTTCTTAAATCAACCTCTAATTTATATTAAAAAAAAGAGAAAAGGGAAATAATCTAATATCAGACAAACACACAAAATATTTACGAGCACAGTAAAATGTCATCTGGAATGTCTCGAGACATCGTCAAGGCTTAACAAATATTGTAATCGGACACGATCCTAAATTAATATGCGTTAAATCAACTTATTATGGAAAATTTGACACAAAAGCAAAACGTTTCGTTGATAGGAAAAAGGGTCACGGTACATAAAATGTCTTAAATGCGTCGCAGACTCGATTTTATGGACGTGAATTCATATTACGTATAAATCATAATTTGAAGAAAAAATACGTAATCGTATCAATTAGTTTTCGTATTATATTCATACATTTGTTTCTATCAAAGCATATCATTAATTACGTCACATTGGACATGCTATTGTCGTAATGGAACAAATTCTAATTGCCCATTAAGTTATTAATTCATATTGTAATACATGTCATGCTTCATTCACAAATTTAAAATAAAATAATCACTAAAAAAACTAGATCTGCTAAAATATGTGTTTGTTCATTTTCTATTTACATTAACAAAGCACCTAAAGTGATTCACAAATGTACTGAAATATTGGAGGTTTTCCTCTTTGACTATAACCTCGTTCAAATTTGCTCTAAATATTACTGTAAACTTGTTTGAGAAGCTAATATGAATTTGCTGGCTATTAGGTACCAACATGATAAACTTGATTCGAGTTTGCAACCGATAGAAACCCGAATGTCTTTGAATTTTTTCAATTAACTTTGACCAATTTTCAAATTACAAGATATTACTGTATTTATTTTTTAACAGAAACAACGATCATCTGGAACTATTAGTGGACGAACATGAAGATATTGGTAATCTCCGAACTATGATAACCTTTTCAGCGAATGACCCGTAATATCTTTATCAACCGCTCGAATAAAAACGTCATACTAAATCAATGACTCGTTTGAAACCTAATTTAAACTTAAATTTATCCGATACTAAAAAAATAAATACTGAATATCTAAGTATGTGTCTTATCAGATCGCGGATAGTAATAGGTAACTTTTACTACAGCATTACGCTAATATACACAATATCAAAAGATACTACGGCGTTTACCAGGAACAAACTAACTACGCAAAAATGTTTGCACCTAATAATCTGTCAAAACTGACATTAACCTGACAAATAGTAATGGAGAGCCCAGATAGCGTTTTAACGACATCGAATCATTTCTGTCTTTAAGAATCGAATACGTTGTGTTTAAATAAAAGTCAGTTTTACAAATCTCTGAAGACTATGTAATGCGCATCAGTGGGCTACAAGTAAATGTCATTGACATCTGATACAGTCGTGCGACGATTTTCTTCGCTTCACCCGTCCGCACAAGAGAGAGCAGTCCGCATACGTTCGCAGTTTATAAACATGGCTCATACACACATAACTTACACTCCGCCGGTTTGTTCTTGGAAACATCAAACTGTAGGTTTCGTCTCGCAAAATTTCACAAAAACAACAATCGTGCACGATGTTGCATGCTCATCTCGACTAGAACAAACATTCACAACTCCAAGCATTACATTCGCATTATTGTTAACCGTTTTATACGGTTTATTCAAATATTGGTTCACGTTGACGTCTTACAAAGGACTGCTTTAACGTAAACCGTTACAACGCCAGTATACTTTTTGCCTATATACGAAAAATTATTAACCTAATCGTTGTGAATCCAAATTCTTCACAATTCACCAATTGCTGGAAAATTGCGTCTTATACTAAAGAGTTTAACGTCATATCAAAATAACCTTGGCTCTAACGATTATTGAGCAAAAAAAATTTAAATAAAAGAAGGACCTCAATGTCAACAATAAAAATCATCACAAAATTGAAAACCTTCAAAAAAGATTAACAAATTGTATATAGTGCAACCTTCATAAATACGAGCACTCTAAGATTGTAGTAATTAGCCGGCCAAGTATTTCGCATAGTTGACACTGATGTCCGTCATCAATTCCGTTTCATTTTACGTGCCTAAGTTTAGAAATTCAACATCGTCACCGAGTGGACGCCCAAAGAGATCGGTTGAGTAGCGTTTTTGCATGAAAATATAACATTGGAATCGGTGCAAATATGATAGAAAGTCACACAGGTTTCTCCGTGCCATATAGTTCACCATCTCAGAAAATTGTCTCATTATATATTTACACTGAATAAATACTGGATAAGAAGAACATT